GCACCCCCTGCAACCCTTGTGAGGAAAAAGCGGATCAGAAAATGGATGGATGGATGTTTTGGCGTGAATTGTACATCCCATCTATCCTTTGTTTCCTTATGTGGGGAGTACAGCAACTATCCTCCAATGCTATATTGATCCATACATTGCATTTAAATGGACTGTCCCCCCGCCTAGATTCTCTAGATTTGATGATGTGTATTTTGATGGGGTTTTTTTTCCATATTTTATTTGAGGGCTGTGTTAAAGGTAGTGCATGAGAAGTACGGTACCAAGTACAGATTTTCAGTTTTCATGTTCTCTCAGTCAGTGAGTAATCCCTAGGTGTGTTAGCTTCCTCAAACATTCGCAAAACATAATTGAGTACAAGTAGATGTAGAAAATGGATGGATTAAAGTTTCTGTATTTTGGTATTTGTTAGATCTTTGATTTATTCACAATTTGGACCACACATACTGCATTGAATAATTTCTTCATGTCATTCATTTTGAGTATACCTGTATTCCTTCATTGCTTTTCATGTTCCCTCAGGCAGCTTTCTTCATTACATCACTTTTATGGGACAGCTGGCAACATTTACTGCACTGAGTGGGACAAACTTTAGCTTCTAATCCAGACTGATTGTAAATTGTATCATAAACTTTTAAATAGCAACGCGACTGATAAAATGTAGGCTGATTGGCAGTCTGAAGAAACACTTAACTGTGTAAGGAATTCACCCATTTTCAACACCGCTTATCCTGAACAGGAATGCGGGGGTGGTGTGCTGGAGCCTGTCTTCGGGTGGAAGGCGGACTACACCCTGAACTGGTCGCCTGTCAGTCGCAGGGCACATAGAGAGACAGATGACCATTCACATCCACACCGTCACTGAGTGGGAACCGATCGCTGCCCACACAAAAGTCAGGCGAGTGTACCACTACGCCATTAACGACATTATACAAAACAGTTATGTTCTATTATTCGCCATGCTGCAAGAAATTATGCTGGATTAGCAGAGTAATGCATTTGCTGTCAAATGCTAAAATTGACACCAACCCTAATTTTTCTGTCAGCTACGTCTGTCCAAACTGATGCTAAATTGTGTTTGCGATCGAAAGATATGTCTCCTAGAATTTTCTGGTCGAGGCTAAATGTTACATTCAACAAAATCTTCACATGAAGTATTGGAGACGCAAATGGCTCAATTACTCCATACAGAACTCAGGCTTGTAACTGGCGAACACTGTTCAGCTGCATCAACATATTAAAGCAAATGTAGCATGCTCTTTTCTTCAAGAGGATTGAAAGTTTTGGGGGTGTGGACGACAACAACAGCAATCCTCTTCATAGCAAAGCAGGACTTTTAAATTTGGACACATAAAAAGGTGCCATCAAGCTCATCCCGCCACTGTACCCACACACAGCTTTGCCTGGAAGTGTGGAACACTAAGTTCACAATGCACTTTGAGGTTTGCTAATGTGAAACAAAACCAGATTTGCTCTACTTTTGTTGTAGTGATCAGAGTTTTTTTTAAATACTTCAAATTGGTGCGGTCACGGAAATGGATGATTCTGTATTGACATTCTACTGTGGGACAGCTTCTTTTCCTTATTTAGCATAATTTATGGACTATAACCCACTGCTGTGTGATGAAGAAGACGATCGAAACTCGTCGGTGAATTTAGCTATTGCACCTGTTAATCAGATGCATTTTGTCGTTGGGCAGTTATAATTTATTAATTAAGCACTGAAACCGCAAAACATGAAGCGCAAAGTGACTAGGGATAACTGTATGTATAAAACTGTGTTCTGTAACAGTGACAGAACAAAAACATGTCGTTAGATGAACAGGTACATTAAGCAAAAATGTGGATTATTTTGCAGCATTACATTTTTAATGCTGGGAGGGAGGTGGTACAGTTGAGTCGACAATCGTCCACTCTTTACTGTTGGCAGATTTCCCCGAGTTAAGTGGATAACTGCGCACACTATAGCTCAATAGTCGACTCAAGTGTAATTTTTTTGTTGGCCGACGATTAAATTACACAGTTCCCTGGAATGGTACGCATTGGTTTTAGCACGGTCAGTTTGGAAAGTGACTCAAAGGAAATGGATGATGGCTGTTATGGAACATATTCTCTGGAAGATTTATTCATTCATTTTAAATATCATTTACGAAGAAACGTGTGAGCGTGTGAAATTAATGTGGACTGCTTGTTACCATATGAGACTGTTGCAGACAGAACACCTTGGAGTAAATTCTTCACTATTCCCGTCATGAATCATGAATCATCCACAGCTATATATATATATAGATGGATGGATGGATGCTGTTGACGTCACGTATCATCGTTTCAAAGTTACGAACGTGTGCATGTGTACGCGTGTATCTATATGGAACACGTCAGGTATTCATCATTTCACAGATTTTATGTAATTATAATGCAACACAGTAAGTATTTGAGGTTATTTTTATTTTTATTTTTTTTTACTGGCCCTGTTACATGTATACGCATGTGCCCATGTGTGTATGAGTGTATGAGACAGGGAGGATTGAATCTAGCTCCTTTTTGACCTTCAAAACAAACAATAGTCATGTGGAAAGGTTTGAAAAACATGAAGCTATCAAAAGTACTTTCCCTCTTGAGACAAAGTTATCTATCCATCTATCTATGTATCTGTCTGTCTGATCTTCTAAAAACAGCTCCTGTTATGCAACTCAGCAAGTGTTTGAAATGGAATTTATCTAGCTGTCAAGCAACTGTACTCTCTAGATATGTGAAGAGTCGCCTTCAGTTCATCCATCCATCTCTGCAGCATAGTGCACTAGTGGTTAGCATGTCTGCTCTGCTTCACAGTTCCAGTGCTTTGGATTTTTTTTTTTTGTTTGTTTGAATTTTTTTAAAACATATTTGGTAATCCGAAGGAAATTGACAGTATTGAAGTTACACCACTTATTATGGTTCTTGGATTATGTTACTCAATACATTTTATAACAGGCAACTAGTAAGTGTAAATTTTAAAAGTTAACCCTCCGAAACCCTGATAATTTGTGACACCTCTCAATGTTTCATATTCAACTCTGTCAATTTTCCCTAAGGTACAGGCTGAAGTTCAGCTCCGTCGACTACACGAACATAATCGAAGCTCAGAACATGTTTCACAAACGAAACTGAATAAACGTCGCACCCTCCGACCATACATGCTGTAACAGACACTTTATCTTTCTTCGTTATTTCTTTCATTGTACTGTACAGTCACGATGTATGCAGTTTATTTTTATCTTTGTCTGCAAATTCATCATGAGGTTTTCTCATCACACCTCCACATTCTCTTCCTATGATATTATTGTTATGTTGATTGTGTTATATTGTGAGAAACAAAAAAAGATAATTGAACAAAATCACCACTCTTAATTCACACAACTGCCTGATTTACATGTTACTGTGGGCTTCCGCAGCCTCGCACACATACAGTATTTGCGTAACAGCTGGTACCCTGACAGACTCATGAAACTCCGTACTTACCCTTCACACCAACATCCGTGAAAGCAGCTTCTTTTGGAAAGGGGGTCGGGTGAGGGCGGGTGGGTTGTTTTTATCTTATAGCTGTATGCTGTTATAATCAAGTGCTCGTGAATTATATACCACACGTTAACATCCAAAAGCAGAATATTATTCAGATGAGTATTTACTGTCTGTTATGAAGTTTTGACAAAAGAAAAAGTGTTGAATGTGACACATTGGTTGGGAAGGGAGCGGGGCATGCTGAGTTGGTTGAGGTAGCGGCTCTGTCCTCTGTCAGGTTCAGATTGAGCTCTTCCAACTGTCAGATTGTGTTACTGTGTGGGTGTTGCCGTGGCAACTGTTTAGTGGAATGAATTTGAGTGTTTCAAGTTCCTCTGGGATTTCGGAAGGCTCGCAAGCAAGCAAAAAAACTTATGTTTGAGTGTAAATAAGTGTTGGCTGGAAATGCCTGGGTGACCTAATGTGCATCTGTGGGAGCTGGAAATCTGTTCCACTTCTCTCTTTCCTGTTGCCGGAGAAAATAAGATCAGAGCGATACATATTCAACAATTGTTTCTACTGGACCCAGAAAGAAGGACTGAAAAGCTGCTAATACAGTTGTTATTAGTATTATTATTGTTATTATCATGGTTATTTTATGTCAATGTATCATTTGACACTATGGACCACTACTGTTTGTTCCTGGAACACATTACAGTTCATTTAATTAACTCATTCAGTGCCAGCCATTTATTTATATATATATATATATACACACCGGTATATATAATTTTATTTTTTAATAAGTACCCATCTGAAAGGTCATAAATATGTCTTTGCAAGTGAAATAATGCCAGAATAACTACAGAGAGTGAGGATGTTTGAAACTAAGGTTCTTGAAGAGCCTGACCAAGAGTTTGCAGTGCCAATAAAATGAATTGAAAGGAACCAGGTTTCGAGTTACGTGCGACTCGAGAACTGTGCTGCCCATTAAGTGTGTCAGAGCTTGCTGTGGGGCTAGCTAGCACATAATCCATTTTAGGAGAAAGGAAAAAGAAAAAAAAGCTCCATTGTTCACATTTTTTTTCCACAAAAAATGGATTTCAACTTCGTCTTGTGGACTACATTTCAAAACTGGGGTTGAACATTCGTGTGCAATAGTGCTAAGGTTTATTTTATGTCATTAAAAATCTAAAGTCATGTCACGATAACCAAAGATTGGTAGCAATAACAAAACAAAGAAATAAAGAGAGACAGTGAGAGGATGAATTGTTTCTGTATTGTAGCAGATGCAGTAACATTTCATTTGGTTACAGATAATTGCCCTCTAAAATAACAACTGATCAGGGAAGAAATAAACATTCTCACTCCCTTCCAAACAATTTCCAAATGTGCTATAATGTATACAGTGCATGCATTGTGATCATAGTTTCTTGGGAATACATTCATCTTGCAAATCCTCTTGGGAGAGTCACGTGACCTCTGTTGTTTCGGGAGGTTGGGCTCAGTCAACACTTGGATGGAAACCTCAGAGAGGGAGGGGTGAACTTTTGCTGAACATAAAGACCTGATATGATGGGCTACAGATACAGAGTTGAGTGAAGGACGAAAGGAGCAACTGTAGGGATAAAATTCCTGAACCTGAACCTGGAAATAAGCTGGAGGCTACAATAATATCAGGACAAAGAACGGGTCCAGTCCACCATGTCTGAGTCCATCAGAAGAAGAAGCTCCAGCAGACAGCTCCTGGAAAACCTCATACAGTGAGAAAAATATATGTTGTTTGTGCTGTTAGCAGGTCATTTTTAAAGCATTATTTAAAGTACCGTGTAGTGCTATCATTTTCAATCACCTCTGCTTTGTTTTACAAAATTATTTGCATAAGCTACATGTGTCTTATTGATACAAATGTCATTTAATGTGGTGTTTAATACAGTGCGTTCTTTTTTTTTTTTTCTTACATAAAATTTGAGAATGAATGACATTGGGATCTGACGACATACATTACCAAATCATGTTTTTGTTCTCGGCTAAGACAAGGGAATTTCAAATTATTATTATTTATATTGCAGCTATTCATCAGCTCAATGAACTAAAAGGTGTGCTTCATTTTGCGGTTTGTGCGTGTCATTGAACAATATAAAATCCAAGCATGAACGGAGACTAATGAACATTATCACGTGTTGCTATTTGTAAACAAGAAAATTACAACATGAGAATGTGATGCAAGGCTACAGATGATCACTTAGACCAGGGGTCGGCAACCTTTGACACTCAAAGAGACATTTTGACCCAAGACAACGCTGGGAGCCGCAAACACATTTTGAAATGAGGATGTTAGCCTAAAAAAAAGAAAAAATATATATATATATATATATATATATAACAGATATACAGTAGATAGATTACACTTGCCGGGCTGCCGGAGAGTGTGACGTATATTTTGAGCAACAAAAAATGAAAAATAATACAATATGTAAAGAATTTTACTCAAACATTTCGAGATCACAATAGTCTTACAATTTACAAAAACAATTAACCCTTTCAGGGACGGCGTTTACTACAGTGGACAGCTAATCGTGTTATCAGGTTACAGGGTGCATTAAAGGGTTAAACAAACCAACAAACGTTTGTTGGTTTGTTTAATTGTAGCTGTAAATTGTAAGAGACCTTGTTCAGATATTGTGCAGTTTTGGTGTCGCTGGTCTTTTGCGCATGCCGCCCATAAAATCTGCCTGATCACCGTAATTGTACAAAGTCTGAAGAAAGACTGTAGCCAAACACTGCATTTTCTTAACAGGCTATTAACAGCACAACACTAGTTCATACAACTCACTATAGCCACCATTACAGAGCTCCTCTCCTTCCTTTATCATCTCGACAGTATTTTTATAGCAACACTGCCACCTTGTGTACAGTCAGTGAACATAACAGAACGTTTTTTTCGACAAATAACATACACTTTAATCGGACACTTATAATTTATTTTCCCGAGCCACACAGAGCTGCAATATAAGAATGAAAGAGCCGCAGGCGGCTCAGGAGCCGCGCGTTGCCGACCCCTGCCTTCGATGGTTGATGTTTGCAGGTCAGTGCTACTCAGGGACACCATTTTGATAGATGAAATCCGGTCAACTCCCGCAGCCCAATACCATGCATGTCTGTTTAATAAATGACTCTTCAGATGTTCGCTGTCGTAAATGTGAGTGTGAATGATTGTGCATAATTATTTGCCCTGCGACAGTCGGGTAACCAATCCAGTCACCCAAAGTCAGCTGGGATACGTTTCTGCACTGTGCATGAATGGGGACAACGATAAGGAAAATGGATGGTTGGCTTGATAGTTGAAGTCATGAAAATTGGTGCAAAATGCAGAGAGGGACTGCTTTGCCCATTAGAATCCTGCAACAGTTGCCTAGAAGAAAGATTAACCAAACATCAATGCACTACAATACTTGCATTAATCAATGCTCTATTATCTTCAAGGTTTTTTTCAACTATTGCACAGCTTAAGTCCAGACTTCTTGCTCGTTTATTGTGTTTGATGGGCACTCTATTATAAAAACAGGCCCTATGGTTTTCATTATCAGTGAGGTTTTCGTATCCTCACTTTTTGGTGGAAAATGTGTGTGACTTCACTCTGTTCTCGGCTCAATGGCGTCTTTTATAGTTGCAATTTCCCTTATGGCAATGACATCATCTGGCAGAATCTCTGAACTCCCTCCTGCTCAGCTGCACTCAACGTCCACCCCCACACCACCGCATGAGACACACTCGCACAAAATATTTTCTATTGTACAGTCTATGTTGACATTTTGCTTAATTTTAAGTAGTGGTCACAACATTCTTCTTGTAAAACGTGAGATTCCGGCCTCTCTTGGGTTCATGGATTCAATTAAACAAGGCCTCGCAAGAAGACGACACTATAGCCTCTCTGTTTCATGAGTGCATTCATGGTGGAAATTGTGAAGCATATCACCGCGATTAATACCCTATTTACTCAGTTCTCATTTAGGTTTTTCAGCTTCATAAATTGTACTTCTTGTAGTGGCTACAGTCAGGGATTAGCTTCTTCTTGAAGCAAGGAACGTAATGTTGCAACCATCTGGAGTGGTTTAACTGAAGGTTATCTGCCTTCTACCCAAATCAGTTTTTCTAACTTTTCTCTTTAAATGTCGGCATTCAAGTTGAGTCGCTTCACTTGAAGACTAAAAGTGGTGTGCATTGCATTTTTCTTCTTTGTCCATTATTTCCCAGAATCAATGACTGATAATGGGGCACTCATCTGACTTGTACAGCAAGTGCGGTTTGTTTTCACTCAGTGACATCAGGAATATGAGTGGGAATGTTTTTTTTCTATTTCTATGGGTTCCTGTGATTGACTGGTAACCAGTCCAGGGTGGAAGCAAGAATCATTCATGCTCTCATTTACACCACTGGATGAGAATTTAACCCACACGGTCAGAAGAATAACCAGGTTTTTACTGGCGCCCGTTTGAAGAGATCTTTGGCCAGATATTCATTCAAATCAATGCCTTTTTGCTTGACATAGACCCAAACCTATTGTAAATCCTACTCAGTGCCAAAATTTCCCTTTCTTCTATTGACTAAATAATGAGCACCAGACAGTCCAATCAGAGGTTGAACTCTTTTCTGCTGCCTTTGCAACAACAGTGCTGACAGGCATCAAATTAACTTGCAGTGAACTCACGCCTGTTAAAAATATGGCCTCCACTTGCAGCTCTGTTCAATTCAATCATACTATCTAGGTCACCTCCCAGCATAATGACCACAGTATGTTTGACTCATTTGGCTCACCAGGGACTGCGCCAGTGGGAGCTGATTAAGTTACCATGTAGGAAATGGTTTATCAATGATTTCATCCATTCTAAATTTTGTTTGACTGATCTAGAGTGTTGCCATTTTGGGAAAATGTACAGGTTTGAGGAAAGGCCTTGAATAGATCAGGGCAGGGGTGTCGCTAGGTTTAATGGGTTAGCTCGCCCCCAGGAGATGTATAGAATGTGAACAAATCCAGCGCCAGAGCACAAGCAGCTCACAAAGACTGGTAATACTGTGTCAAAGTTTAAAGTCAACAGATTAAATTTGTAGTGTTCGGTAAACAAACACAGAAAATGGGTTTGTAGCATTAACCCCCACCCCACCCCAAATAAAATGTACACATTGTACAGTGTATGCAAAAAAAGGATCAGTGTGTTGTCATGAAATAAGCCAAGCAAATCGTTTTCAATACATTACGGAGAAAAAGAAATGACCAATAATGTAATTAAATTAAAATCAAAGAATGTACCGTATTGGCCCGAATATAAGACGGCCCTGATTATAAGACGACCCCCTCTTTTTCAAGACTCAAGTTGGAAAAAAGACTTTTTGAACACCAAATTAATTTTTATACAGAAAATAATTACAGTACATCAACAAATGATTCTAACAATATATTTGAGAGAAAAAGCATGTTATTTTGCCTCATTCAAATCATAATATCTGAGCATTTAAATATGTAAACTAAAGTGCAATCACATTTGTAAATGAATAGCTTCTGGTTTTTGAAATGTAAATGACATCATAACTTCTCCTCAGCTGCCGGTTAACCTGGCCGATCTTCGAACCACTTTTCTCCAGATTGTTGCTACGTTTCTCCATTTTGTGTTATCTCTTCTATTATTTTCTTCTCTTTTCTTTCTTACCGCTATTTTTGATTTTTCTTCTTTGTGCTACCGCTATTTTTATTATTATTCTTCGTGACAGGGGTTCACTTTGGCCTGGGGAGTCAAATTCAGCATTCGCTTCAATGATATCTGGCGCCATCTATCGTCGTGATTGGGTATAACGTCTAGACCCCGAATATAAGACGGCCCCAATTTTTCAGTCTTATTTCAATTCAAAAAAACACTGTCTTATATTCGGGCCAATACGGTATGACACAGCAGATCAGCAATTACTGCAGGTCTGGTTGATGATAGACAGTTCTTTGAAAAGCTCTTGGTTACAATTTTGAGTTCATTGTCGTGATACAGTAGCTACGGGAAAGAAGATCCCTCTCAGTCTGTTCGACCCGCCTTTGTGGGCCTCTCGCAACAGCCTGAGTGCAACAGCTTGAATACGTAGTTACTGGCATCAGTGGGGTCCTTGATGATGTGGCCAGCTCCGCTGAGGTAGTGAGAGCTAGTGATGTCTCCAGGCTGCCCACAGAGCAGCTACAAAAATGGTGTGCCTTGACACTGATGAATGAGTCATAAGCTGAACTGAATTCTAAAGTTTTGTCCATGGTCACATAGCTTCCATTGTGCAACAAGCTCCCGCTAAACATCATCTCCCTCTTTCAGTTTGTTCTTTTGACATTTCATTAGCTTGTAAAAAGGATGTACTAAACATCTGCAACTTGCATTCCAAACAAAGCCGTCATTTTCAGCTGTGAGTGTTTCATCTCGTGAGGGAAATTGATGAGGTGTTTACACTTGTATCACAGGGTCTATGTCTGAAACTCTGCCAGGCCTTTCTGTGTGGGGTTCACCTGCCAGGCAACAAGAAGTGACAAGTATCAGTGACGGCGACAATGATCCAACAAAGACTGATAGAAAGTGGAGAATTCAATACAAACTGATGATGAGGAACACCTGGACAAGGCAAGTGGTTGAGGGAGCTGATTGGACGACACAACGGACTGGACTGATGACAACAGGTGGACACAACAACCTAACGAAACAGACATGGAAAAAAGGGGCTAAAAGGAAAACACGACATCACCAAAATCAACAAAAACAGGCCATTACAGTACAACCCCCCACCCTTAAGGGATGGATCCCAGATTTCCTTAAACAAGCAAAAAATAAAAAAGGCCCAAGAAGTAGGTAGGAGGAAGGGGGTCTCAAAGTGGGAACACGGTCCGCACATTGGGGACGCCAGACGCCAGTTGCTTTGCTGGCCCAGTCAGGAGGTCGGCCAGGTGGGGGCCCACACAAGGCGAGGGTCGGGTGTCAGCCGCAGGACGTGTGCCGCCGGAGCAAAATTGGCTGGCGGCGGTGGCCACAGGTCACAAATAATCCCTTATATGAGTTGTTGATCTGGAAATGTTCTCAAGAGGTTCAAAACAAACATTGTTCATGATGCAATTGTCCCCTGCTTTGTGCAGGGTGACGGTACAGCGGAGCCTTGAGGATGCAGAGGAGGTGGAGCGAGAACGCAGGAGGAGAACCAGGGAGAGGCAGCGAGAAGAACAGACCACTCTGTCGGTGCCTCACCAGCAAAATAGGTCAACATCTTCAGGAGTGTAAGGCTGGTTGCATCTTATTTTCTCTTTGAATCACACCTTTTTTCATAAGTAATAATCCTTCAGTGGCTGTAAACTTAATCTTCCACCTTAATAAAATGATAACTCTGAGTTTGCTGACTTTTTATCCGGATTTATTTTGCACAACGAAAGATTATTGGTGATTTGAACCAGCCACCGGTCAACAACTTTATAAATATCACATATGTTTTAATATTATACAATTTGTTTCTGGACTGATACATATGCATGGATATACCTTAGATCTAGTCCTAGAATATGGCCTGCCAGTCCCAAGTGATATTTGTGTGCTACCAATTGTAGATGATTCAATTTGATATTTTTATTCCAAACCTCCGCTTCCCTCAGAGAACATCATCCAATACCAGATGAAGGATGTCAAACGTGATGCCCACGGGCCGGATCAGGCTCTCAAATGGGTTTAACCCAGCCGCGAGATGTTTTGGTCAAGTTTGAAAATAAGGATGGCCCAAAATCAATAAGCAGCTGCCCGATTCTAATTAATGTTGCATTTGTGGAATATGACTTCAGCAGCAAAATCCACCCATTTTTCGCCATCTCAGAGGTTGGCAGAATAACTGATGTCATTTTCAGTCGACAGCAATTGGCAAAATGGCCGCCCCCGGAGGCGGACAAAAATGGGTGGATTATACTGCTCAACTCAAAACAAATGCAATATTCATTAGAAGGCTGTGCTTAGACTGGTAGGGCTGCATGGAATGTACAAACCCGATTCCAATGATGGTGGGAGGTCGTTCAACGTCAGACCAGATTTTAAGGTGCTGCTTTTAACCAATGAAATTTCAAACTGTTTTGCACCAGTAAATGTGAATTAAGTTGTGGATATCTATGATCCCAAACAATCTATGTGCTCAAAGGGCAATGTACAGTCAGAATGACAAAGAAAAAAAAAAACCCAAATCCTCTCAGTCACTGAACTAGTCATTTTAGATATTTGTATTTATTTTGATCAGTCGGTGCCGCGTTCAAATTTTGCGACAGAAGACATTCGCCAAAGAATTACCTTCAAACATTAAGAAATTAAAATTCATTTAAATTGGTATCAAATCACTGTGAATAAAGGATATGCTGCCCCTACACTTAAAAAAAAACAAAAAAACAACAGTTCGATTTAAGGGCTTTGTTTTTTTTTCACTGCCGTTCCACAGGTCAGACGAAGAGCTGCATCCTCGTGGTTGCTTTGTGCAGGAGGAGGATGAGGGGTTCAGTGACTGGAGCCACAGGTTGCACAGATTGGAAAATCGTAATGATCTTGAGCACGTCAGGGCCAAGGCACAAGAACCTTCATCAATGCAGTGGAAGGCAGGCAGAAATAACAAGAAACAACAGGATGATGAAGAGCAGGCGGAATGGCAGCCGACACAAAGGAGCCATGCCCTGCAATGTACAAGAAGCCCTCCACTGGGGGTATGCGGCCCTCCTGAATCCACCTTCTTCTTTCATTTTCTCTTCTGCCCTAACTTCAGAAAATTGTAAGTCTTCCCTAACAACATCCATAAATCTCATCTTTGGTCTTAATTTTTCCTCGAGTTTCAATTTTCAGCATCATTTTACCAATATATCGAGTGTTCCTACTCTGAATGTATACCAACCATCTCATTGTGGCCCCTCTCTGGTTTTGTCTCCAAAGCTTCCAGTCTGTGTCATTTGATAAACTCATTCTTGACCTTGTCCATTCGTATTTTTACCTCAACCACCTCAATCTATTTCTGAGGTCTTCTGGTTGTTGCTACCATCTTCAAACCATACAAAATTGCAGAGTTCTCTCTCTCTCTCTCTCTCTCTCTCTCTCTCTCTCTCTCTCTCTCTCACACACACACACTGTGTCATTAGTAGTATCTTTTGGATTTTGTATACCATCATGTCCACATAAAGTTCACCCCTGACACTTTACTCCTTGTGCTGTCTCCTTTACCTCTCAGTTATTCCACTTTTTTTCGCCTGAGTTTACAGTGCACGTTTAATACATTTTTGACAGAACTCACATTTAACTGACTTTCTCTTTAATTTTAGAAAAAAGAAGTCAAGCTGTTTCTGTCAAATGATCCAAGACAACAGCAGGCCAGCGACCCGCAAGCAGACACAATGCTGGACTTAGCGACAGAAAGGATCAGGTTACAATGCATTCTACATTCATTATAGCTTTAGCCTCAGTTATGTAAATGTACTCATACAATTGACTGAAAGTATTCCTCTGCTTCTACTCGCGCAGGTTTGTTCTTCTTGACTCTTGACAAATGGAAGCCCTTTTTGTTTTTTTGCAAACATTTCAAGGTGTGATGTTGACGAAACTTCAATTACGCCAACTTCTCAGCAACTATTTATCTTTTTAACCACTCGCACATTGAAGGAAATCCAATAACTGGCAGGTGGCATATACCAGCCATCTACAATCAAGAATTTTCAATTAACTTATGGTCTTATTGTCTTATGGTATTATTTGGCATGCATAAGAATCATATAACACTGAAAAAATCCCACTAATATACTGAAAGTAATTGTGAAAAAAAATCCTGAAGACACTCTTGAAGATTTATGAACATATAATGTATAAATCGCCTTGCATTATGCGAGTAGCTCAAGTCTGAGACAGTAAAGTGAAAAGTGCATTTCACTTGAAGTAAACCCTATTTTTTTTCATTATTTTTATTTTCCGTAACAGCAAAGGGGTGTGCCTGGCGAAGCAAGAGGAAGAAAGGGTGCAGCAGACTTTGCAGAAGGAGTGGAGATCATGCTCGGGAAACAGAGCAACATATGAAGTTGATCATGAGGCAGAGGATCTCGACGTCACACGTGAAGAGATCAAGAAAAGGCTCTCAGAGTTTGAGGGAAACCAGAAGCTGACAGAAGAGGCCAGTTTTTAAAAATCACTTGACTATAAATGTGACTACTGCTTGTGTTAACTTTCAATTCTCTTAGCACTGAGAGACCTATATATAAATTCCCAAATGTATATGAGTTTAGATGACATTCAACAGACATTACATATATGTCATGACAGGCAGGACACAAGAGGGCAATTCTACTTATTATTGCTTTCTCAACTCTTAAGATTCTGATGCGTGGCAAATTCCTAATACATGGTCCATACATGTTAACCACTCCACGGCACAGTGATCGACTGGTTAGCACGTCAGGGTTTGATTCTAGACTCCGGCCTTCCTGTGTAGAGTTTGCATGTTCTCCGCATGCCTGCCTGCGTGGGTTTCCACCGGCTCGTCAGGTTTCCTCCCATCCCATAAACATTCATTATAGGTTGATGGAGCGCTCTAAATTCCCCCGTGGTGCATTCTAGTAGTTCACCACCAGATAGCACTACATTCTCTACACTCTCCCTTTAATGGTCAACTTGAAATGCTTGTTTTCAACTTATCATTGGGCTTTAGCGCAAAGTTTGGAATCGCATTATGAAACATTAACACATTTTGAGACATATTTAACGCTTTAATTCCACAAGACATACTTGTACGTCTTTTTAAAATTAGGCCCCGCCTACCAAGGACGTACTTGTATGTCTAAGTTTTTTTTTTGCGTCAGAGAGGAGGAGGGTCTGATGCAATCTGTGAATGAGAATTGTAAGTCATATAAAAAAGTTACTAGTAGGTGGCAGTGGTGCCTCATGTGCTTGAAATGCATGCTTTTACAAAAGCTCTTTTTCTCCGTTTTTTGCCCAGGAATCGTCATTTTCATGAAACTTAGCCAGTTTGTAATGACGATTGCTGAAGAATGGAAAGAGATAGAAACAAAATTTTTTTTCTGCTGAAAGAAGAGAGTCTAAACTTTATTCTGGTAGGCTCCATGTTTATATAGCATTCGAACCAAATATTCGTGGGCCTTGCAAGATCAGTCAAAATCCAGTAAAACGCTGGGATTGAGGGGGTTGCTCCAGTGAAAATGGCTGGGATTTAATGAGTTAAAAGGTAAATGCAAAGATGTGCAGCGCAAATTGTGCAATACAAGTGGTGCCCTGTGTGGGAATGGTGAATGAGGGGTGGATACAAGTGCATTCATTTTGATGTTGTCCTTAAAAAAATGAAGGAGCACATCAGTGAAACTGAAAATAATGGCAGAGGGCATGAATGAACACACAAAAGAGTAAAAACATGTCAAACAATTGAAGCTACGATTCAACAATGTAACCTTTTGAATGGAAATTGATGAGTTTTGTATGCTGGGGGATTTGTTGTAGAGGTCAAAGGAAGAAGGATGCAGGAGTGATGATGATAAAATCCGTCGGGCTGGCCTTTCTCTATACAGCAGTGATGAAGATGAGACATTAAACTGCTATGGAGCCATGAGCCCAACATTCAAGGTATGGGGAAGAGTGAAAACACTGTCGTGTAGATTCCAAAAGAACTTCAAAGACAAGTCAAGGGTGGGACTCCTGGTGGTTACAAGTGGTCACTACAGCAGCAACTGAAAATAAGACTGGGTGTGAGGTGATTAGCTTCTCACAAAGAAGGGATTCTCCTTTACCTCAATCACATATCTGTGTTAGGTCGCAAATGATTCATCTATAATAAGGCTGGCATCAATTTAGTTTCAGCATGTTGCCATGCCTTAGAACTGGACAAACCCTCAACCTGAGAACTGCTCAACTGTGACTTATTTGGTCAGCAGGGGGCGACTCCAGTGTTAAGCCATAAAATCATTGTCTTTGTCACTTGCTTGATTAACCTTTAAGTCTAAGTCTCTATAATTGATTGCACGATCTTGGTTGGCAAATTATGTTCCAGTTAAATTGAATGATCAAATTAAACTGGACCAAAGTTCGCTTTTTTTGCTGTTGGGTAAATTTTGAATATGGTAACAGTAGAGGACAAAGATGAAACTGCATCCTATTATAATAATAATAATAATAATAATAATAATAATTTTACAATGCTTCAGAAGAAGAAATCATCTCAGCATTGAAGACAATCGCAGGGGAACAAGCGCCTTTCAAGACACCCAAGGACCCTTTACAATCATTGTCATGCATTTAACATTGTTTACAAACATCCGACATAACAAAGGTTCTTGACAACAGAAGTCAATTCATGTTAGTAGTTCAAATTATTTTTGTCACGTGTGATATATCTTTGTATAGGGCAGTTAATTTAATCAACTGTTGCTGTCTATGTTCATGTTAACTGTCACCAAACATTTCCCTCATGCTCTTTCTTCCAACAGAAACTCCTCATTCAGTTTTACCCAGTAAGTCGCTTGTCCTCCTTCATGTTGTTGATGATGTGTGATGAAGATGGTGGATCATTGTGAATGGACCTGATTTTAACACTTTCAAAAGAACCCAACACAATCACGTTTTATAAGTAAACTGCATTTTGTGGTGAAGTCACCCTCCAGGCACATGACAGCATCTTGAATTGCTCAAGCATCCTGCTCAGCAGTTTGTTCAGATGTGAGGACCGAAAGAGATTTACAGAATCTTGTAAACATGTTACTTATGAAACCAGATGTTGGCTAGTTCGTAATCGCAATTTGGAACTCTCTTTCCTAATTCACATTAAGCATAACCTAAATATATAACATATCTGAAATAGAATTCTGTCTCGTTGCAAATGGAGGAAATGGAGGAAAATGTTATTTCACTCGTGTTCCGTGTCTGGCAGAAAGACGACATCAAACCTGTGGGCTAGCATGGTGCTGCTAAAGTCATTTTCTTTCTTTTTCTTCCTCTTTGTAAACACGGTGGAGTTAAAAAGTTGTCATAGCATAGTTAGTTTTGTCACAAAAGAAATGTAACATTTCAGCACTGTTACAACCCAAAGTACATGCACATTCATACATAAAGTCCTAAATCCAAATACAAACCCGAGCGATGATCTGCAGCGCGGCGTTCACCTTCGATGCACTTCAGCTCAGTCAAGAAGTGTTATGCTGACATCTGATTACCCAATAATTATTGAAATGGTGCTACAAATGCTATAAAGGAATCAAAAGGTCCAACAACAAGGTATAAGCCAAAGTGTCAGGATATGCACAGAGGCGCCACCCGATTTGCCACCATAACAAAGACAAATAGTGTAAAAGAGACGAGCATTGACATGCATCTCAGCACAATGTTTCTCTTTGTAGGATGAGGTGAAGAGCAGAATACCAGCAGATGGTAAATGTGTGGTAAGTTGGCATCAAATGACTGTTCAGAGGTTGCAAGTCTCTGTTAGCATTCGGTGCTCGTTATTTTATTTTCCTCATTTTCACAAAATGTGTTTTTCAGATCACAGAGCGAACGGAATCTCTGAGAAAGAGGTGGGTTCTGTGTAATCCTAGAGCAGGGGTCACCCCCAAAAATTTATGAGTATTGCCTTCAGCCTTGTTAGCTGCGTTCACCCTGTTTTACGATTTAAAAGTGGAATGATTCGATTCGGTGCGACTCAGCGGGATTACGATTTGATTCAATATGGCGGCTACGGCTCAGTTGTAAAGGGTATGATTGACTTTTTTTGTTGTGATTTTACAGACATTTGTATGAACTTGTCAGGACTGAAATTGTGTCATTACCTCTTAAGGTATATCACTCCAACAAAAGACGATTCAATAAGTATCTCGATACGTTTCAAAGTGGAGCGATACGATTCAGTTCGATTTGATGCACTTTCACCTATCTATCGAGCAAAAAAAGATTTTACGGTTCAAAATGTTTTTTTGTTACACTCCCAATTTACAAGCTTCAATAATATTGTAGTTCACTAACGGTCCAACCAATTTAGAAAATTGCTTCGCTAAAGTCCCAAAGAAAGTATTGGGACTTTTTCCGTCGCAACCCTATAGACAACGACAAATATGGTGTCCTTTGTCCCCGCTTCGTGTTTTTATTCCTGCACACACATAAAATATTTGATTTTTAAGACAAAACAAATACACTGAAAAAAAGTACTTATTTTTCGGTTGCACATGATTAAAAAGTGTTAACTGACGTATTTTTCTACATTATTGAACACATTTTAATCATGTAAAACCGATGCACATGTCCGAGTTGAATAAATCCAAAGGATCCAAAGGATTTCTTTTCAGCATATGATCGGTGTTTCCTCTTTGTGTCAAAGCTCCAACAGCCAGAAGATTCCACAACCCCTTTGTGTTTCCAAGATCGACAAGAAACTACAGCAGTATACGCATGCTCTTGAGGTAACACATGCTAATACTTTAAATACACCAAAACCAATTTGAGATGTAAACTTTGTTTTCAGATAATCGACTACCATTTGGTTGGCTGTGTAAAATCCCACTTTTTTCGGGTAACTTTACAAATAGCAATTACATTTTTTTTTTCCAGGTTTCCACAAAGGAAAGCAAACCAGCGAGTCCAGTCTTGGTGGATGCAATGAGTCCCATCGCTCACAAAAAGAATCTTTTTGAGGCTGGAGTGGCATGGAACCAAAACACACTCGCAAACACACCACCAAAGGTCAGTCAATATCTGACTGGTGTAACATGATACACACACACACACACACACACACACACACACACACACACGCACACACACACACACACACACACACACACCAGCGAATGCAAGAGTATAGAAGTGTATGTTGGTGCTGAAAGTCAAACAGACTTAGCAACTGCAGTTAAAAAGAGGTGCGTCATAGCGAAGTGAAAGGTCAATCCCTGATGATGTTAATTTTTGCGTCTTCTTTCACAATATCTGTAGTTATATCTGTATATTCCGTTACAAAGATCTTCATTCCGCTTATTTTTGTGCTGAACTTTGTTCATTATAACCAACCTCTCCAATGTCATCATAAATCAGCGCAAGAATTGTGTGTCTGTTTCAGCCAATTAAGCCATCAGATAGCTTTCAGCCCAGCAAGGACTTAATATTTTGTCTTTTTATTTTCAGGAAATAAAACCTGGTGTAGTTTTAAGCAAGAAAAATGTGTGGGAGGGCTACAGTGATATAGTTTCTCTCGCTTCTTCGGGGAGGGATACCAAGGTATGTGGTTTTCGTGTTGATGGATGAAATGCATTAATGCGGTACATTCAATGAATTAGTTTTTATATATATATATTATATATCAACTTTATTAAGGTGCAGCATAAAAATCTTCATAATTACCGTATTTTCCGCACTATAAGGCGCTTCGGAGTATAAGGTACCCCTTCAATGATTGGATTGGATTGGATACAACTTTGTTGTCAAATGTGCTGTATGTGTAACATACAGCACAGATGAAATTCCTTCCCTCTCAAGACAACATAAAACAAGAGAATGGCCTATTTTAAAACTGCATCATCAGGCGCATAGAATAGAAGTGTCAATAGTGGCTGCGGTTGTGTTTTGCATCCACTAGATGGAGCGATGCTAAAGGAATACAAAACAATACAATCCGGCTTTATTTAAATAGAGCTTTCGCAACCGCAGCAGCTGTAACCAAGCAATTTACAGAATATTTAAAATACTACGTCCAAGATATCATAATATTGATCCATATAGAAGGCACATTGGGTTATAAGGTGCACTGTTGGCTTTTGAGAAAATTAAATGCTTTTCGGTGCGCCTTACAGTGCGGAAAATATGGTACATCAAATGATGCATTCAGTCATTGCTTCAAAAAGGCATTTTAAACTTTGAAACTTCCTAGGCCAGTAAATATCTGTGCAAAAGAATGTATCATATAGAACTGAAGTTTACGTAAATAATGACATATACAGTCTACTAATATCTGTGCAAAAGAATGTATCATATAGAACTGAAGTTTACGTAAATAATAACATATACAGTCTACTATATTAAACAATAATATATTTTCCCCGCGACTGGCTGGCAACCAGTTCAGGGTGTATCACACCTGCTGCCCGAAGACAGCTGGGATAGGCTCCAGCACGCCTGCGACCCTCATTAGGATAAGCAGATTAGAAAATGGATGGATGGATGGATATGTTGGTACCGATTTGGGTTGCCTGTGTACGGCTTTTAGCAAGCACTTGTTGGTTGTTTCATATGTGCTAAAACATCTTCAATATGTGAAGGTTTTCGATGGAAACTGCAATTTGACATTAGACGTGACATTCGCATCAATGATGATGGATTAAGTCAAAAACATTGCAATTAAATTAAAGTGTAATCTGTGTTTTTTTTCTTTTCTTTTTTGAAAATGAACTCAGGAATGCTCAGCCGGTAAAATGTATAAATTTGTCGCGATGGCTCACGGCAAGTATGAGAAGGTTTCTGATGAGGACGGCCTTAGAGATGATGCAAACTGGGCAGGTAAGCTTGATGTTCAGCAACTACCAAAAAGACATTCTACAAAGAAAAATTAAAAAATTTGCTCTGACTTATTGCGGGGCGGTATTATTATTATTTTTTTTCCTTTCTGGGTAAAGTAGCTATAAATCACAGTGTTGCTTGAATGATTTTGTTGTCTTACTCAAGGTACATTGTACACCAGGGGTGCCCAAACTTTTTTGACCTAAGATCTACTTTTCGATCAATCAACCTCCCGTGATCGCATACGCACGCACTTGCACAGGCATGCCATGATGAGCAACAGCCATAACGGCACATAAGATGAACGAAACAAAAAAAAATAAAGTAGACACAAGAGTTTATGAGTTTGTGAAAAGGATTTCCTGCCTACCTTACTGGGAGACCTGATGCGGATCTATGCGACGCACTTTTTCAGGCTTTTAACTATCGTAGCTCACGCATACCGTTTTAAAATGCTTTTCTTGGCACTCCATATAGCCATTGTTTGCCAGTGCCATCAGTGAATTGTACACGAAATGAACTTTGACTTATAATTATAATAAAAGCTACATCGTAACAGCTCTGATCGTAAGCTGCAATTGCAGACTGCTGAGCACAATTTCCGGTGACGTGGGTCACGCGCCACCGTAGGTTAAAGGTGACGTGCTTTATTTGATTTGATTTTTTTTTTTTTAACTTTTTTTGAAATTGAGACTGATAGGATGATTAGGGTGTGGTGTGTATTAACACAAAAAGTATATTACTAACATGCACAGAGATACACAAATGTTTGTGTTGTTGTTTGTTTTTTTTCCTCTGCACCCCTCACTAATCCATGAGCCTGATAGGATGATTTGGGTGTGGTGTGTATTAACACAAAAGTATATTATTAACATGCACAGAGATACACAAATCTTTGTGTTGTTGTTTGTTTTTTTTTCCTCTGCACCCCTCACTAATCCATGAGCTATCGACGTAATGGGAACCCCTGTTGTACACTAATTAAGGTCCATCATGTGACTGAATTTTCAGTTCCAAAGTGAGTGTTTTTGCCTTTCACACCAACCTGTTGCCTTTCGTAAACTGTCAAGTGCTCCATCCCAACGGGATTATCAAAGGTACCTTCGAGGAGTCATTGAATCAGTAACTTAAAATAAACTCAGTACATCGGGAATTCCCGAAGTTTAAGTACAGCTGTAAAAGTGTCACACAAAAAGCAGAAACATGACATACACTTAAGATCGGGAAACCTGTTCATGTCAGTCTTAAATGAGCATTTTTAGGTGGATGCTCAATCGCTGTCCTTATTCGTAACTTGCTTTACCAACACAAGCCACTACAGGACTTGCCTTGGGGTCAGCTGCCCTCTCTGTTATGTAGGTCTTGGTTGTCGTTTTTCATTTATTTTTGGGATGCTGTAATTGACCAGCCAAGTTACACACTCACAGACTCGTTCCGGTTTGGCACCGTAGGCAACATTCATCCAAGTAGAAGGTCATATTACAATTGGCAGTAGAATTCGTTTCAAAGAAATGAAAAAAAAAGTGTAATGTTGACTTCAATTCATGTTTGTTTGGTTTTTTGGGTTTTTTTTGCCAGCCGATTTCACAAGATTGTAACAACTGTGTGATAAACGAGGTTCAAGATAGCTTATAGGGATAAACAAGCGTTGACAACGTGATGTTTGCATAGACTTAGATGGGTATCAGGATTTCACGGCTGTGTTTAGCCCCCTCTGTTGGTGAAGCTTGAGACTACAGACAGTTGGTCACAGACCATGACGTGCATGTACGTGTGAGAAGAAAGCTAGATGAAGGGAGTCGCCCTTCACAATGTCGTCTGTCTGGTGAATGATGTGATCGCGAGCAAGAAAAATCACAGACATCACCAATTAAATCCCATATAATAAAGATGATTTTCATTTTAAGACAGTATGGGGGAAATTCAGAGTCAAAAGCTTTACAACCACGCTCTGCATACTCTTACGATCACAACAGAAATGACCTCTAAACTGGCACTATTAAATAATGCCTTTTCTTCACTTCCTTTTCATTTTTGTCTCCATACTTAAGACCCAACCAGCATTCCATCATTATTATTTCATTGTTACAGTCACCATCCCCAAGCCAAAAAAAAAAAAAAACAGGCAACGCTATCAACTGAATCACAGTTACATTTCGATTGCCCAACTTCTTATGTCTGATATAGCTACCGGTACTTTGGTTTCCTGGCTTGCTTGATTGGCCAAAAATGACTTCCATACACACATTTCCTCTCCAAGCCTAACTTACAGAATCATTCAGTATTTAAAAATGTGTCACCTAAGTTGATTTTGGAATGTAAATCCAAATTTGTTACAGTGGTTTAGACCTCAGCAGTGAACACCCTTAAATACCAAGGTGCAGCATTGCAAATTATATACAACTAATCGAACTTACCTATAAATACATCTGAAATTTTAAAGGGTTCCTGTTGTGTTTGCCATTTGATTTGACATTTTTTTAATTTGCAAATGAAAAGTGTAAACTCGAACTGAAAGCATATGGTGCACCTTAGATCAATGTGCTCTCACATGGTTAAAAAAAAACAAAAAACAATCCTTGACCTCTTGAATCATTCAACAGACTAATTAATCAACCCCAGACACATCTGTCCAAGTTACAGCTCTTTTGTTTCAGCCGGTCCAAATCCTCTGGCTATTCTATTGAAGTCCTTGTGATCATCCTCCCGAGATTTTCGCTTCAGTAGTCCCCTTTCAAACACTGCTGCTATTTTTGTCAATGGCTTCTCTGCTGCCTCTTTTAATTTCCGAGCATCAAATCGAGGCCCGTACAGCAAAACCGGTAGGCGATTGACGAAGGATGGGACCTCTGACTGGCCGTCTTTGGAGGCCTTTTTCTTTTCGGAATCTTTTTTGGCTGTGTTGATCTGCTGCATGATTCGGTCTTTGGTCGAGAACATCTGAAAGAGGAGGGCATCCCACATTTTCAGTGCCCTGGGACTCTCACTGTTCTTGACCAAGTCTTTATCATCACATTGACCCGCTGACAACTTCTCCCTACTATCAGCGTCTGAGCTTTTGCGGTCACTGGACTCATCCCGAGATTTGGCCGGTGGATCTGGGAAGGCAGGTTCCTCTGGTTCAACCACCACGTGTTTCTTGAGCCGTGTCCATCCACTCAGTTTGCCCTTAAGATCTTTTGGCTTCTGGGCTGCCTTTGGCTCAGTAGGTAAGCGAGATGTTCCTGGTCTAACTGTGTTTCTCTCAGCAATTGAAGATGCAGGTGATGTCATTGACTTCACGGAGGATTCGACTGTTGGTCTCTCCGCCACTGCTGGTGTAGCCTTCATCTTCAAAACATCCTCGTCTTTGAGTCCAGTGATTTGCGGAGATAGCAGTGACATTCCTTTGTTTGGGGATGGAGTTGAGACTGACACTGAGGCCTGAGGCAAAAAGGCAGGAGTGGGAGAATCAATCACAGCAGCTTCAACTTTGGATGATTTCATGACAGTATCTGTTGCTGGCTTTGCAGGGGAATTGCTCTCAACTGGCTGCTCTGTCAAATGCTGGTCTTTACTGGCCGAAAGGTTTGTCTGGACTGGATTGTGGGACTGTGCAACAGAAGGCTTTCTTTCTACAGTGGCAGGAGAAGGGCATATTGCAACCTGCTTAGATCGATCCGTGTTTGGACTGCGAATCAAATGAGGGAAAGGAGAGCTGCTTTTGGTTTCCATGTTTAACTCTAATTTTGTTTGAATGGCTTTTGATTGGGAATCTGGTTGAGCAGAGACCTGAACAGTGGTAGAAACTGTGTTTAAAGAAATGTTCTCATTTTGCGCAGTTACTTGAGAGGAGGCGTTGCCCACAAGAATATGATAGGAATTGGGAAAAATTGAATGAAAGGCTTGTTTTGGTGTGTTGCGCAATCTTGAGTCTTGGAACAAGGGGATTCGTGGGACAACCAAAGATTTTGTTGGCGCTGTGGGGCTCAGCGAGGTAGGAACAGATTGAGTGATTTTAGTTAACGAGAGAGTCACAGCAATTTGCATATTTACGGCACTCTGGGAAATGTTTTTAATATTTACATTACGAATGTCAGTTTTAGCAGCTACACGCGCTTCTTTGGCAAAGTGGCTGTTCTTCTCCGCATTAGTCTGAATGCCTGATAAACCCACAGAAGTTTGAGCTTTTTCATCAGATCGGGGGTTTTGACTCCGTTGTACGTTGTTACTCATTAAGTTTGCAGTAACACAGTCATTCGAACTCAAAATACTTTTCACAGGATTTTGAATTGTCGTCTCCTCATATGGTGCGAAAAGAGGTCCATTTTCAATCTTTTTCGCTACTTTATTCACAGCTTGCTTTGTTGTAATTACTGGTCTTAGCGGAGAACTTTTTGGAGTCACGCCCCTCATTTTAGGGCTCGAGGGCACGTGACTTATGATGCGGGCTGTATGACATAATGCTTTACCGCTTACCATTGGGTCTGTTAAAATAACCTCCGTGGTGAGAGGATTTCCACTAATGTTAGATTTGTTTGACTTAGTTGGATGCGGAACACTTCTGTCTTTGAGGTTTTCAAGGCCACCCAATTCCAGAGGGGCAACCACGTTGCTGCTGAAAGCATGTGATCCGACAAACGGTGTGCCGCGTTGTTTACTGATACTGTCAAGCATGTTCTGCATTCTTTTTACATTTGAGAGATTGGAGGTGTTTTTGGTACCAGTAAATGTAGCTTTTTCATTTCTAGCCATACCTGGTATGGTAGGAAGAGACTCTCCTGATAATTTTCCGGCTATAAAACCAATGCCATCGGTTGGCAGAGAAGGCACAGCAGAATTGTGTGCTTTCACATTTGCTCTGCTCAGGTCAAGAGTAATTTTAGCAATGTTATTTTGAATTGTTAGAGATCCTCGTGGTCTGTCTGTTGAGTCCTTGCTGGCGGTAACGTTGCAATTTTCTTCATGGCTAACGTTACTTAGCAATCTGGAATCTGGAACCCCATTGTCACTTGTTTTGTGAAGCTTTACAGTTTCTATATTTGATTGGTGGTCTCTCTCCAAATGGAATATGTTCAGGGATTTGGTTGTCATCATTGGTATGCCAGGGAGCTTGGTATCGAGCAGAGGGTTATTGGTTGACAAAGTATTTACAGGGCTGGTGCTTGTTTTCAAAGCACAACTGTCACTAAGGAAACACATTTTGTGGCCCGCTGTCTCACTGGGCGCGTGATTGTGTCCACATTTTGCAGAAGCTGGGATAAGCTCATGTTGAAGCTTTGAATCTCTAGTTGTGAAAGTTGGGTTTTTAATTCCAGTTTCAAATTGGCGGCCTCTGCTTGCTTTTTCGGGGATTGTGTTAGTACTGGCCACGGCAGATGGTAAACTGTCATCAATGTTCGCATTGGTGTGTAAAATAAATTCAGTGCTTTCTTTCATTTTTTGTTGAAACTGCTCTCTTTTGTTTTGCAAAGCTTTGTTTTCCACTTTGGTAAAAGGCCTGGTGTCTGGTAGATTCTTTCTGTTATTGGCTGATATTAAGCCAGCACCACTTACACGTTTGCCAAGCTTTTGCTTTGTTTTTGTGACATTGGGTTCTTCAAAAGTCTTGTCTGCTTCATGAATGTATGTTTTGTCATTTTTTGTATGTTTCTCAACATCTATCACTTTTTGAATACAGTGTGTTTCCGGAATCGAATCTTCCTCCACCAGCTTTGGGATTGCATCAAAGAAACTGCTGCTATTTTTTTGGCATGGGGTCCTATTTAAAGGCGCCTCCACAGGAAATATTTTGACAGTCTGAGTGTGTACCTCACCTGCTTTAGGAATAGGCTTTGGAACCTCAGAGTGTGAGGCCTTTCGCGTAGATACATCACTTGTGGACTGACACATATGCTTCTGTATCAAGCCAAGGGGAAGCTCAGGTCTTATTTTTTCCAAACTAGATGTTTCAAGTAAAGGTGTTTCCCCATGCTGAGTTTTGATTTCACGACTTTTCTCAAATACATCTTTGACAGTCCGCTCTGTCTGGTGCTCCGAATCCTTTGGCGTTGAAAGTGGATGCAAAGTATTTGAAGATTCACTCTCCAACGATGGTCGCTTTTGATGTCCACTATGTTGCTTTGTTGACTCAAATTTGGAGACACCAACGTCATCTGCTGAATGTGTTTTGGTGAAAGAGGTCCGCTGAATTCGACGGGATACAAGGCTTTGATACGATGTCAGAGTCCGAATCCCACCATGAGCAACATACTGAAGTCCATAATATGTTGATTGTGGTTTTGACATTTGATTCTCCAGTAGTGATGACAAAGACTTGCGCACCTCGACAATTGGACAATGATAGGTGGGTGACAGGTGGCCCAAGCTTGTGAATTCCTGTGGATACTTCAATGCTGTCTGAGTCTTTGGTGCAGTACAGGAAAATGATGGGACCGTTGGCAAATATGCAGCCTCTCGATCTGGAATTTGGTCTGTTTTCAAGTTTGGAACGGATTCTCTATGGGCAGAGTCAGGCTTAGTACCATTTGATGTCCAAATCTCAGTGGGAGTGTCAGTGGGAAAGCTTAAGTTCAGAGTACTCCGACAGGTATTTCGGATACCACACCCTTTATAATTGGTATTTTGCTTTTTGTCATGATTGTTGATTACATTCTGCTGTACTTGTTTTTTAGTAGCACACGTTGTACTACGAGGAACCTCAATGGAATTTGAGGGAGCAAATCCATTTTGATAGGAGTTCAAAGCTGTACTTGTGTCAGATAAAACAGGATTGGTTCTGGATAGTTCACAAGAGTGAGTGGATACTCTTGAATGTGTGCAAGATGTCGTCTTGGGTTTTCCGTATAAAATTGAGGGCACAATTGTTTTTGGATCTTTTGTTTCCTCTGCGGGTTTCTTCTCCATGTACGAAACTGCTAATGATTCTTCTTTGTAGGTTGGGTTTATCTCTGAAAGGTCTTGATGGGAAGGAGGCTTAGAGATCTCATTAAGGGTTGCTTTTGATGTATAAATTGAATGTTTACGGCCATCCCACCGAGTCTCTTGGGATAACCGCCTTACCAATTTACCATTACTGATAGGTCTTGGGGTCCAAGACCTTGATGTATGGAGTAGAGTACACTCTTTTGAAATAGTGTTTGTTTCCACATGGTTGGAAGCAGAATGTTCTTTTTGTGCCTTTGAAACTGATAAAGGTGCAGAAGGATCATGAGGCAGATCTGCAATTTGAGAAAGTGCTGTTGGGTCTGGGCCATAGTTGAAGCTGGCTGAGGACGGTGTCAGGTTATGACTTGACATTTTCGGATTGGACTCAGACACAGTGACAGGATCCACTGTTGTGACAGACTTCGGGGAATTCGGTGACACTGAATTGAAAGCAGCTTGATGTGATGATGATGGACCCTCTTTCATTCTTGGCATGGGGTTTGAATTTGTAGGTGGTATCGTGTCAGAAATCAGTTCATCAAGTAGAAATGTGGAACATTCGTAGAGTGGTGCCACCTGCTCTTTGGAAGGCTTAATCTGTCTTTCGTTGGACTGTGGCAGAAGGCCATCAATTTGCTTGGAGGTGCTGCTTTCAAGAAGAGGAAATGCAGATACAGATTGATCAAAGGAGTCCAGTGGGAAAGCGGACCACAAGGATTCCACCGTGCAGACTGAATCTGGTGTCTGTGGTGGGCTGGACAGGTCACTGTACTCGAGATCTGCGCTGGCTTCATTGACTGGTGACAAGCAGGAACGAAATGGAATAGGAGTCTGAGAGAGACTACCCTTTCTCTTGACTCTCCTCTTCTTTAGTTGCTGAAGTCTCACATTGTCTTTGGCAGGTTTTGGCAGTAAGGGTGGTGGATATTGCTGGGAAAGACCAGACTCAAACCTGCTGCTAACTTCCATCAGCGCATCAGCATATCAAGTCCTGTAAAAGACACAGAAATCAAATCAAACTTTTTTATGGATGATGCGGGTCATTGTGCTCATTTGGACCTTTGAAGTGGCATCAATGTTTTTGGACCCTTCTGCAGCTCTTTGCCGTAAGATAATCCTGTCTCGGCGGTTTACGGACAGTTCCTCTGACAGGGTTTGTGCTCTGACACTGTCAACTGTGGAACCTTACATAGACCAGTGTGTGCCTTTCCAAATCATTTGCAACTGACTTTACCATATATGCACATATGAGTTTTGGAGTATTCATTTATTCTTTTTTTTAATTGCAAAAACTATCCCCCAAAAAGTTTTTTCACACTGTCATTATTGTGGGTTGTGTGTAGAAAAAAAAAGATCTACAGTGGACCGCCCACATATTCTTGGTTCACCACTCGTGGATTCATCTATTCACAGATTTTTTTTTTGTTTGTTTTTTACCGCTTTTTTTTGGTGGGCGGGGGCGTTTGCAGCAGACAAGTCATGTTTTTTGTGGTATAATTTTAATACAATATACAGTATGTAGAATCTATATGTAATTTTATTTTGGATGCCTGTAATTTTTGTTTCATGATTAAAATATCAACATATAGTATATTGCAATATCTTCGAAAAGCAGCAGCAAGACTTCAAACGAATATTTGAACAAAATTGAGATTTGCATGGTGTGGCAACCGCTACACTTTCTCATCAGGCTCCTTTGGAAACTTACTTGCCACCCCTATAGCAAGGCAGTGACCCAAAATACACTGCCAAAACAGCAAAGAAGTTTGGATGCAAGAAGTCTAAGGTTTTACACTCCCCATTTTGCCTGCTAACTGACTGAAAAGAATAACCCTAAAAAAACAACCAAAACTGCAGTGGAAGCCTGAAAAAGCATCACAGGAATGAAGAATCCAAACTTTTTGCGATGCCAGTTCCTCACAAACTTGATCTTGTCTCTTTTCAGTCCACAGCAAATACACGGAATGTATCAAATATATGAAAGACAAGTAAGCTACCTTGCCTGAGACTGGATGAATAGCGTCAGCTCCAAATACATCTTAAGATAGTCTTCTCCAGTTTCACTTGGTTAAAAATTGCACTTTTAATTGAATTTTGTTAAGGTTGAAACCAAAATCTATTTTAACTTAAAAACAAATGTGTGTCAAATATTTCTCTTTGATCAAAACGTTTTCAGTAATTAGTTCATTTTATATACAACATATTTTCCGCTTTGGGAAAATCTCCACCATGATCTACACAATGTTCATTGTTTCATCTTGCTGAGTAATAAGTGCGATATTTTCCTCTTTTTTTCAGCCTGAAGAAAATCAGAAGCGGAACATGCCATTTGGATTTCAAAAGAAACGTTTTACTGCAAAAACTGTAATCATTGTGATTTTAGTCATCTGTATATTTTAACAGTTTTACTCAAACTTCCAATTTACTCAAATGTTCAAAATGTTCCCTGTCAACACCTATTTCTCTTATGAGCAAAAAATGGAAAAACTATCACTCCGCTGTTTATTAGACAGGTATTCATCAACACATTTTCTTGGAATTGAATAAAATATTTTTTTTTCTCAATCTCATGTGATTGCTCTGATTTGTTTCTTTGTATTTGACTGCAGAAGTCATGTTCATGTCTATCATGTTCTACTCTGAATTCTTCCTGCCTGCTCTGACACTGTATAAGATGGCTTCATGTCTCCGAGCCAAATCTGTCGCTTAAATTAGAATATGAGCTCTCATCAGGACACATTTACACATTTTGAACGTCTTAATTGGGTCCCGAAGATGATGCCATTCGACCAAAGGCACTACCATTAGAAATAGAAAGGCACGTAAAGCTGTTGCTTATGGCAAGGCTGCATTCAACTGTTGACAGGCTTCTTATGGAAAGAGTCTTACAAGGAGGCAGTCAAAGCCGAGAATGACCTTGGCGTGACATAAAAGTAACTGACACATGCACATGAGGGTAAAGAGTTACACGCATGCAGGGGGGCCAGGGACCTTTAGCCAATGAGGGAGTACTTTGGAAACTACTATATGAGAAAACGAGACATTTATTTTACGAGGCGATTAGGTTTCATTCAAGGAAAAAAAGCATAGCATGCAGTATATCACCCGGTATGGCAATGACTGCATATGGCTAGACTGAGGTTTTATTTTTTTTACTTTGCCAGAGAACAGAATGACTTTTATTTATCATGTACCATCGTGGCCAGATGAGTGGAATTGCCTTCTTTCAGTATTTCGTTGACACTAGAAAGGGTTTGCAGTCTAAATTTAGTCTGAGGGAAATAAGAGGAAACATTCTGACAGTGAGCACCTGCTGCGTGATGTCTTCCACTCACAGAAACAACCTCAGTCTGTTGGAAATCAATACGAGGCACAAAATCCTCCCAGAGCTTCTATAAGCTTGGACTTGTGTCTCTGAAAGTTTATTGGAGTCACAGTCGCAGACTTTGAGTGAATGCGCAAACCATTAAAATGTGTTTTTCATGAAAAGTACTCAACAGTTGAAAGGGGAAGATAATATCCATGTTTATAAATGAACACCGCTTAGCCTATCGACGGTCAGTATAAATTAGGGCTGTCAAAGCACCTCCAATGGCAAGGAAGTAAGCGGACACACGAGAAGTCCCTTTTTAAGGCTCTGTGCTTGGGTGTCTTGGCTTACGTCGAAGCAGCTCAAAGTGTAAGATCATCTCTGATAAGACTGTGCCATGACCTCAGCGAATGTATCTTTAAATAACACAATTAAACAAAATGGAGACCAAGCCCTTTTTATCATATGTGTAGTGTGGATATATTGTCAATCTGAGGAACATACTGTGCGCCCGCTGGTAGAAACACTTGTTGCCTTTCTTTTGCATACGAGAACAGCTCAATATTACAGGTGGGGTAGAGACACTCAAGTCTTGTTCCAAACCAACTTCATAAAAAGTAAGAAGATATCACGGACTGTTGCACATGTTTTGGAACGCACTCGCTCTCACTCACTTTCAAGCACAACATTGTGCAGAATGAAAATAAAATCTTTTTTTTTTCTTCCCTATTTTTGCACCGCCTGTATAATGTGTATCATGCATATAAGATTTCCAATTACCCACATGCTGCTAGCAAGTGCAGTGCGCTGCATGGAGGAAAGCATCTGGCACCAGGCCAGACAAGGATACATCGAAATATCACCGGCTTGTCAATCAAGCAACACAGTTTGACCGGTTTACCTTAGGTGAGAGGATGTCGGGACAAACTGCTCTTTGCTTGTTAATCCCGGCTCAGAGTGCCACTAGGCCGTCTCATCCTCCAGTGAACTGGAGCCTTAAGGAGAGAGTCGCTGTGCAGTGGGTACTCCAAAAATAAAACACTTGCCTCCAATTCATGTTGGAGGCAAACATGTTTTTTTGTTTTTTTTTCCCCAGGCTGTCTGACATGATCAAGGTGCAGCCCCTACAGGCAGCCAATAGCCACCCCACCTGGAGGAAGACAATTATCTTCACGCTCGAGTACGCCGTGGGTTACAGATTAAAAACAACACTTGTAGTAAATTGGACAGTGTATGCCCATTTTAGGACTGAGTACAGCCTGGCAGCATTAAACAAAAGCTTAAATCACGGGTAGCACAGCGTCCTAAAGGTTAGCACTTTGGCCTCACAGTTCTGAGGTTCAGGTTTCGAATCTCGTTGCATCTGGTTCATGTCTGGGCTCTGAGTGGGCAACTCAAGGACATTTAAATACCTGATTGAAGCCACTCATTTGTGATCTAAATTGTGTTATTAGGATTGTTGTCCTTTTGGAAAGAGAAGCTTTTCGTATGACGGCCACAGCTCCTGCATTGCCAACACCATGCCTTACTGTTTGGCTGGAGCGACCATCGGCTTCTTGGTCAGCTCTCACACCAAGGCCTTCACTCCTCATTGCTCTCTTTGGCTGGGCCACCTGCTTTAGGGACCGTCGTAGTAGTTCTAAACTAGTATTTACGAATCATCAAGGTAATGCTTTTCATGACATTTAATGCAGTAGACATTTATATATATATATTCATTCATTCATTTTCATTAATCCTCACGAGGGTCGCGGGGGGTGCTGGAGCCTATCCCAGCTGTCTTCGGGCAGTAGGCGGGGGACACCCTGAATCATTTGCCGGCCAATCGCAGGGCACACAGAGATGAACAACCACCCATGCCCACACTCACACCTAGGGACAATTTAGAGTGTTCAATCAGCCTACCATGCATGTCTTTGGAATGTGGGAGGAAACCGGAGTACCCGGAGAAAACCCATGCCGGCCCGGGGAGAACATGCAAACTCCACACAGGCAGGCCGGAGCTGGAATAGAACCTGGTACCTCTGCATTGTGAAGTCGACGTGCTAATCACTGCTCTACTGGGCCACCCTTATACATACATATATACATATATATATATATATATATATATAGGCCCGGTAGTCCAGCCAGTGGTTAGCACGTCGACTTCACAGTGCAGAGGTACCGGGTTCAATTCCAGCTCCGGCCTCCCTGTGTGGAGTTTGCATGTTC